AGAGTCTTTAAGAGAGGAAAAAAAGTGGTAGCAGTAATGGGGAAGCACATCCTTGTCCTCAAACCCAGGCCTACTGCCAGGAACTTCAAGCTGTGGTCGCTAGTGCCTTTCAGAAGAGCCCAGACATCGGAGTCGCGTTGGGCCTCCCTGTGCTGGTAAGGGAGGGGGCTTGCAGAGAACCCTCCTGCCATCCAGGGCAGGTGTTCTCATGTGTGGAACTGCACATTTAGAGAAGGAAGGTGACTGCCAGCTCCCCAACACCCCAAGGAAGCTCAGTTTATTCATCTTAAACCAATTCCTTCTTTACTTCTTTACTGAGAAAAATACTACTACTGCTATTGAAGTACAATTATTCAAAAGTAAACCTTTTCTCTTCCTGCCCTAGACATTAACCAGAAAAGCCCCAAGGAAAAGAACCCAGGAAAACCCCGTCCTGAACTAAGCCTGATCTCTTCTGCTCTTCTCAGAGCACACGAAGAACACGGGAGCTCCAGGTTCTCCTGCCAGGCAGCAATACACAAATACTATTTATAGCCTAAGGCCAGTTTTCTTTAACCTTGTGAATCTCTAAGAAAATAGACTAAGAAAGTTTCAGTTGAAAATGGACTGCATGTTCTTAAGTACTTACTGTAACATCAGCCCCCTGCAAGTGGAGAATCAGCTTTGGTGAGACTTCAAGCTGTCCCACACAAGGCAACGGGACAATTCTGACACTAAACTCACTACTTCCATAAATGCTTTTCAGTTTAGCACCTGGGCACTCAGTTTAGCAACTGAGCACCTAGCAGCTTATGAAGTAACATGCACCAGGTTAAACGCATGTTCAGTGCTCTTAAGGCAGATTCATTCTTTTATTCAAACACTTTAACGAGTTTTGTCAATCTCCACTACAGGTGCAATAAAAAAAAGGTCAATAGGTGAAATGGTTAAGTCAGACAAATGCCCTTTAAATTATTTTTATTACAGATTCTGACACCTTGCAATTATTTCCTGACAAGGGGCTAATAGCCTACAGACTAATTAGCCTGAAAGACTTGACTAACGATAACTGAGAAGCAATTCAACACTCAAGGGCAGTCTGTTCTTCAGATGGGCCACTTCATTTTAATACCGTACTCCCAAAGTACCCAAACAAAGCAAAATTCCTAATAAAAACTCTTACAAATGAATTTTTTTTTTTTAAGAATATACCCCTCCAACACATCCTCTCCCCCACCCCCAAATTCTCAGTGCAAAGCAAAGTGTTTTAGTGCAAGGAGAGCCAACAACCACAAAGCAGCAGTAGTCAGAGCACACCCTGCACATGTTTTCCCCGCTCACCTTCTGGTGATGCACTGAGAGCCAGGGCCTCGGCCAGCCCTTGGTGCCTGCTGCTCCTGTTCCCAATAGTGTTCACATTCCTTTTGTGTCGTGCAAACAGGAAAAAAATAAGTCCCTGCAGTGGTATCAGTGCACACTGAGACAGCTTGTCATTTAAGCAGCATTCTTTGTAAGGGATTTCACTAACTCCAAACTTTAACACCTAGTACAGGGCAAGTTTCACCTTCCCAAGGGCCAGCAATTACTTCTCACACTGTTTTTAGCTCAATAGACCAAGACTCTGGAGGCAAAGGGAACAAAGTAGGGAATTACCGTACACCCAAATACAATGACACTATCTGCTGTCTGAGGAAAAAATCCTAAAATACAGACTTCAAAGAACAAAAAGATGAATAAATTTCAAGAATTAAACTAGGTGTTTAAACCCAAGGATTTCAGTGGTATAGAGCCATAACATTTTTCCTCCTTAAAATATCATGATAAAAATACTACTTTTTACCTGTGCTTCCTAGATTAAAGCTGTGGTGTCTACAGTAGCTGAATATCTAACTTGCAGCTGGAGAAAATGCAGCAGCTTCTCAGCAGCATTGGTAAACATATGCATCAAGGAGTCCATTCAGAAAAAGCTGCCTTCTTAATCCTAGATAATCCTGTATTGGGGGATGAACGAGATTTTTCTCAGCAGTAATATGTCTTGCCAGATGTTTTGGTATATCTAAAAGAACCAGTGAATAATTTCACAAAAAATAACTCCTGTACAAAAGTTTGGAATGTGGCTATTCCTACCACTTCCAAAGTACACCCCAGAGGGAGATTTTGTCAAGATTTTATTAAATCAGTGTATCAGCAAGTAAATTTTAAAAGAAACAAAACCAAAAAGCACCCAAACCAACAAATAACCTACGCAGCGTGGCAGTCCACAACTCCTGTTGTAGTCACCTTTACCCATCTGGGTTTCACATTCCTGAGTTTATCTTCCCCCTCATCCTCCCGCATGCCCCCCAGTGGATTTTCTGTTTTGAATATTTTAATAAATAACGGACACCACAAGTGATCCTAGAGCAGAATTCCACATCTCAGCACTGCAGGGCTAGAAGATTAAGTTCACTGGATGTCATCATCATCAAAGAGATCTTCAAAGTCTAGTCAGAAAAATAAAACAAGATGAATTAAGTTGTTTTAAAAAATAAACTGTGTTATATACACATACATACACACACCATATACATCCTACACCAGTACTACAAAACAGGTGAACAGGCAACTCCACTTGTACCATATCAGCTTTGTAATTAAGTTAACAAAAGCCAAGCAAAGCTTGAACAATAGATTGTTTTTAAAGGGACGCAATGAGCAGTTACCCCATTCAGAATAGCTGAACCCCCCCCAGATCCTTGTGCCCCTCACTAGCAGCAACCACAACGAGGCCAGCTCAGCGAAGCCCCTCTAGTCCTTCCGGAAGCTGCTTTAACCTTTTTACTTTATGTCTGCTTTAGGGGCTGAGCACAGACTGGCGACATAACCATGCTGAAGCCTTTTTACAGAAGTCAAAAATAACCATTACCATTGAAAAAAGACGAAAACCAACCTCTGCTTAAAAATGTGCCATAGTGGGGATAAAACAGCTCGAATTTACAGCAGAACGCCAATAATTTAAGTGGCTGCTCCTGGATACACAGCCTCTCACACTGCATAGCAGCCTCCCGGGCGGACCAAGTCTACCGCAACTGAGGCCGCTGGGAGAAGGGGGCGGCGGAGGGCACCCCCTTCCCGCCGGGCGGCCGCGCGCGGGGCACTCACCGTTGAAGAAGTCGGCGTGCACCGCCTTCTCGTTGGCTGCCAGGTCCATGAGCAGGCCCGTGCTTCCCCCTGCCTGGAGACGCACCCGCTGAGGCCGCCCCGCGCCTGTGCAACACGCGTTGCTGCCCCTCCTGGCAGAAAAGAAGGAAAAAAAGAGGAATAAAATATACATTATGTATATACACATATATATTTAGGATATTTTTCCAGCCCTGAGACCATTTCTTCTTTCAGCTGCGGCCAAACAAAGCGACCATACATGCACTGCAGCAAAGTGTTTTTAGACCCAGTCCCATGTCACTGCGATGTCTGACACGCGTTGCTGCCCCTCCTGGCAGAAAAGAAGGAAAAAAAGAGGAATAAAATATACATTATGTATATACACATATATATTTAGGATATTTTTCCAGCCCTGAGACCATTTCTTCTTTCAGCTGCGGCCAAACAAAGCGACCATACATGCACTGCAGCAAAGTGTTTTTAGACCCAGTCCCATGTCACTGCGATGTCTGATCTGCTGGCAGTGCCTGCAGCAGCAATAACCCTGCGCTGCTCTACAAACATAAAACAAGCACAGCGCGGCAAAAGTCAGTGTGGGGAGGGCGCAACACCCAAGGCAAGAGATCTGGCAGCTCATGATCAGAGCTCTCTGCATCTCCAGACAAGTCTGCACAAAAGAACATTCAAAAAAAAAATCTCACAACAGAATCAAACATCAAAGAGTTTATTGGTTTTGTGCAGAGGCATACATTGTAAAAAGAAGGGTGATTTTGTCTGGTGTTACAAAGCAAGAAGGGTGTGTGTGTGTATATATATATTTTATATATATATATATATATATATATATATATATATATATATATATATATATATATATATATATATATATATATATATATATATATATATATATATATATATATATATATATATATATATATATGTATATATATATATGACTGCTACGGGGACTAGGCAGTGCTGAGATGACGGCGGGGGCCTGCCCAGGCAGCCGTGGCCCCCCCAAGCACCCCGACACAGCCGCGGCAGGACGAGCGGCGCCATCAGTGCTCGTGGTTTGGGGCGTCATAGCCCAAGCGACTGCCAAAGGGGAACTGAGCAAAGAAGGTTTTCGCCATTTCATTGATCCTGTCATAGGCTCCCAAGGTCCGGAAATACTCCACGTACGACCAAAAGTCGTTGGCTGAGAAAGGCCAGTAGGGCATGGCTACCTCCTTCTGGTAGACATCTACAACACAAAAATGCAGAATAAGATCCACACAGGACAAAGCATTTCTGTTAAAGCTCGGGCCATAAGAGAAAGCACAACAAGTTCTGAAAGTGCCAAGAGCTGACCTCCCTTGGACCCAAATCCAGCCAAGCACAGAAGCATTATAAAAATGTGATTACTGGCTGAGACAAATGTCTTTCTGTGCTATGAAGACAAACCCACTGTTCTGATTTTATTTAAAGTCCATTTAAATAAATGGGAGTCATTCCATTAATTAGACTCCCCACTGGACCAGGGCCTTTAGTGAGAATTAAGACCCTTCAACAATTCTATCATCAGACCTTAATTTCAGTGAAGTAAATTTGCAGTGCACAAGCACAGATGGCAGGTAACAAACCAAATGAACTGGCCAAGTGCTGCCTGCAGAGTAGAACTCCGTGTTTTTATCAGCTGATGTTGGATTCACTTGGCAGGCTGCTGATTTGCCCAGTGGGAAAGAAAAGAACATACATGCTGATGAGTAACAGAGTACTACCTGGAGGTTTTATAATGTGTTGATGCCTGACTATCGGTTGCCACAATACTTGCTGCACGTGAAAAATGTCCCCTATACCTTTTATTTGTCAAAACACAGGTGGTATATTCAATAAATGTTTAGTGATACAAGGAAAGATACTCGAGTAGAGGAAAAATGTTTAAGAGTAATCAAATTAAGATCCCACCCTGCTGTTAATCTCTATACATTTGTTTTTTCATATCTGTCACAATGGTCTCTTCATGTTTGTATCTGTGTACTCAGGATGCTACCAGCTATCATGCCATTCCTACTGGGATGCCCACCAGCAGTAGGACATTGTACTGCAAATACAAAACAAAACAACAAAAAAAGGAACTATTCCCTCAAAATTGCACAGATGTATTTGTGACAATTTGTATTTAAGATTTTTTGCTGTGGAATAGTAAGTAAATACCTTTCTAGTACTAAGGTTTGTGACAGTCTGACATCTCAGAGCCTAGCGTGGTTAGAAGTCTGCTGTTTGCATAAACATAGGCTTTATATTTACATAAAGCAGATAATGACTCGACCATAACCCGCTAGAGGATTTGCCTTTAATAAATCGTATTTGCTGCAGTTTTTTTTTTCTCTATTTTAAGATTGAGAATAAATAAGCTCTACTTTTATGCTTACTAATATGTTGGCCTTTGAGTTGGCCTTCTAAAGAAGCTACTTTAAATTCACTCTCCTCTTTCTTTACCAGAACCAGAGTCTGAATTACCACCCACTGAGGTTAGTAAGTGTTCCCACCGAAATTGCTGGTGGGGATCGGGTCGGGGAGTTATGAACAATTCTTCAAATTGTTAGTGATACAAAGGAAAAAAAAGTAACACCAAGAATTACCATCTCCGTCCTGGATTGATCGGGCGTCTGCAAACAAAGAGCAAACTCATCAGTACCAGGTCTCATCCAGAAGCATTTTCCGTTTACCAAAGCTTGGCTGCAAAGCTAGAAGCTGCCAAGTTCTTCAAAGCACAAGTAGGTCCCTACTTGTAGCCAAATGTTTTGTTTCTTGAAACAGCCGAATAAAGATTTCCTTATTCGCAGTCATTCAGCAGCAGAAACCAAATACTTTTCACTATCAGCCAGAGTAATTACAACTAATACACTAGCAATATTTGATACTAATTCATTTCCTTCTATTTAGTAACAGAAAAACATATTTCTGGTTTCTTGAAAAAGTAAACAAGAAGAAATATAGCAACAATCTTACCTATAAGCATGTTCGTCAGCAGACACAAGAAAAATAAGGCAATAAGCTTCATCTTTTTGCCAGTTACTGCAGGTTTCTGAAAAATAAATTGTGTAACAGACTACAGAAGATTAGGATTTATTCAAAGTATATTATTTCTCTATTAGAAGAATCTATTCTATAATAGATTCCAAATAACGGCTTCTGCATAACAAGATCCAGTTACATTTCTTTATAGTTTCTTAATTGCAACATAAAATATTTTAAAAACTACAATAACAAACTGCGTACTGGTGTTTTGCTTTCAGGTGGCATAAATCCAGAAAGATCCTCTGAACTGCCAGGAAATTAAATGTCTTGGAAATATTTTGCTTTGTGGCTACCAATTTCACTTTGGAAGTTACCTCTCCTCTTTCCTTCTTCTCAGAGCAGCAAATGTGTGTAGCTCAGTCAGCTACAAACCCCGAGGACTGGAGTAGCGGCACCACTTAATGAAGGGTGGGGAAAAAAGGCAAGAAACGTCACCGAGTTACTACCCCCGTCTGATTTTGTCACCTTCATCTGAAAGCATTTCAGCCGCTCACTTCTGCATTGCATCTTAACCCCATCCATATCACACATGCAGAATCAACTTGGGCAACAGCATTTCTGTATTTTGAAGACAGAGGAAGAAAGTCCAGAAGCAAGTTCTGCAATTATTGCTTTTGTCATCTCCTTGATTCCTCCTCTTCAGAAAGAAGTTCTGTGTTTGGAGCACATTGCTAACAGTATGTGTTCCCTCCCTAGCTGAAACACAGGACCTTAAACATTTTACACCCATTTTGCATTTTTACTGGGAAATCTTAGATCTTAAATTGTTTGTAAGCACCAAATGCCCAGATAAATCAATTAGGCTTCTTTAAACAAGAGCTCAGGTCCTAATGAGCTCAGTTTGGATGGTGAGTGCACAGTTACCTTCCGTGTGCGCTGGTAAGGAGTCCTCCGCCTTCCCCAGAACCCTTCTCCCAGCCGCAGGCAGCTGCTCCGGGTCCACCTTCGGCAGGTTGCCGCATGTATCCCGCCCTTGGAAAAGCCTGGAGCAAACAAGCAGTCTGGAGCATATTCCAGCAATATCTCGCGTGTCTTTTCACATCCAGCTCCTACTGGCAGCAGGGCCACCTGGGAACAAAGTGCAGTC